CCAAATTTTATCATAACATGTAATTTTGTTGTAGAAAATTCTTAGGATTATCTTAAAATCTATTTTCATATCTAATTAGAAAATTTTGAACTCCAAAAATAGTTAAAATTAAGGAGATCTATAAACATATGAAAATCTTGAAAATGGACGGCCTAGAAAATGTGTTGCAAGATGCACTATTTCTGAGTCTCAAAAACTTTTTTTTTTATATTCATGCATCTTGATGTCGAGACGATCAAATAGAGGACTTTTCAACATTAAAATAACCTTTCCGATAGATTTTTGGGGTGCATCGGTAATTCTACATTTTAAGGTTGCAAGCTTACATAAACTTTTCCCAAACTTTAAACTCAGAGTGTTATACCATAACAGTACAACCACTCGATGTGATTGTACTCCTATTTAACTAATTTACATTCTCTATTTTCAGCAAGATGGTAAGAGATACATGGACACGACACCCCTACAAACGATCGCAATCAGGAACCTCAGTCAAACTTGTTCTGTCAAGGGGTTTGAAAGAACCAGAGTACATTCCAATGGATCCACACTCCAAAGAGGAACAAGTTGAAAGCTGAAAGGCTACAAACAAGTCCATGGGAACTACAATCTTAATCTTAAAAAGATGCAGCAGATGAGGGAAGCAAACAATTATGATCCAATCAACCTGGACTACATGTTTGTGGATAATCGCACAATGGCTGGTGAAGCAAGAAGAACCAATCATCCACAAGGAGGTCCAAGAAGAACAAGCTGGTCCAAAGTCAGACTCAGCAAGAAGAACCAAAGGATGATGACAGGCGAGACAATGAGGGCCATATAAGGAGGCCAAAGTGATAAGCAACACAGCCAAGGTGGCGTTGAGGAAGACAGTTGGACTAGCCTGGGCAATTTTGGATTAAGGGCTAACCATCCAATGTACCAAAGAGGTTTGGAGCCATCCTGAACATCGAAAATGCCGTTCATGACACTTTCGTTAGCTGTAGAGTGTAGGCTAATGTATTTTGGTGTTGAAGTGCCATTTGTATTTTTATGTTTCTCATATCGCCCTAATACCATGGGGCAATGTCAGACTGCCACTCAATAATGTATGTGGTTGTTATATATGAATATATGATCAACTTAATCTTTACATATAATATGACGTGGGAACTTGAAAATTGAAGGGACTTATTTGAATTTGCACTAGAAAATTAGAAATTACAGAATTATTGAATGTTACATTAGATTATTAGATAATTTCAACGAGTGTAAAGCAATAACATCAATTTTCATTATCCATTTCTTTTACACATCTTATGAATTTTTTTAGTTTTTTGTTTCTTTCTAATTTTGAATGATTTTCCAGAACTTTTGGGGATTTTTCAAGGCGGCTAAGGGAAAACTTGCAAGTCAAGTCCACTTGGTACTTGGCAAGCTTACTTGCTCTAGCCCATGGCAAGCGCCAGAGCATGTTCAAGTTTACCAACATTAGCTGAACACTACTGGAAAGGGGAAAGTGTACGTTTTTTTCCACATTAAAATGGACTACCAGTTATCTCTCATAGGAACAAAACCAAAAATAGGACATAGATTTCTCCCATTGTCCATTTACCTATAAACACGCAGTTTTGACTAGGTAATGAGGAGAATGTGAACCGAGGCATCATTCTGATTGTTATTGCTAACATTGTCTATCATGTCGTTTATTTGTTTAAGTCTAGTCAAGCACATACTTCATGGATTCGAATTTCCAAAGAGTGCGTCCAAAAAATTTAATGTAACGAGGGTACAATAGCCATTGTTGGAAAGTTGGGACTAGTTTAAAGCTATTCAAAATATAAGTGCCAATGTTTTGTAACGCTGCAAGACGTGAAGGCCCCTATGTCCAAGACAGGAGATGGTTTTCTCACAATATCAATATGAACAGAATTCAGAATGATGAAGATGAACAATCCTGATTCTCTTTAAAAGTCAATGATCCACATCCAATATATAACCAGAAGGGCCAGGAAGGCCAATCATGCTCAAATTTGATGGAAGCTTGAAAGGAAATCTAGGGCCTGCTGATGTTGGGGGATTTGTGAGGAGGATAAAGGCAAAACACTAGATGACCAACTAAGGTTCAGTTCATGCATGAGATCCCAATAAAACTGAGACCTGGTCCCTGCTTTTGGGACTTTGGCAACTATACCCACAATGGATAATAATTGTTATAGAGTGTGATTCAAGAAATGCTGTCTCTTGGGCCAAAAGCGAGAAGAGCTACCCATGGAGGCTACATAACATTTTTGTGGTAAACCAAGACTGGTCTAGTAAGTTAAAAGTGAGCTGGACGCAAATTTTGAGAGAATACAACAAAGAAGCAGAGCCGTCAGCAAGGGGAGGAATCATGGTGTTCTTTTTAGTGATTCCTTTTAGAGTGTAGAGAAATTTCATTTAAGCGTGATACACAGTCCCTTGTAGATAGACTCATCGATCTTGTTCATAAAAGCATATTTGTACATTCTTTTTTAAATTAATGAAAACAATTACTAGTAAAAAAAATCCACATCCCATAGCAAAATGCCATATATGAACATGTTTATTTAGATCAAGTAGAATGTCATATTCTAGCCAAATTTTCTCCCCAAAAAAAAAAAAAAGTAGAATGTTATCCTCAATCTAGTTCGCATATTTATCACATGCAACAGCGAGAATGCAGTGGGATGGTATGAAAAGACTAAGATAGTAAGACAGTATACAATAGAAACACATACTACCAAACACTACACTTATTCAATGTGCTGACAATGCTTAACAGATTATATAACAAACTTCCTCTTGAGTCAAAAGAAAGCGTATAATAAATTTTTAGAAAGCATATAATAAATTTCATTGAAGGGATATAGCAAACCTGTAGGCATTGATTCAAAGCATCCAACATGCTGGCACAAATTTCTGTTTCAGGCTCCTGTAATCATTTGAAAATTTAATTATTTAATTTGGGAACAACTCCAAATTTCTAGTCAAACATGAACAATTTTAGTAAACAAAATAAAAATGAGTCATGAGGCAACCTTATGCAGAGCTTCAATCAAGGCAGGAATGATGTAGTCAGATAACTGTTTCACATAAGACTCATCACGACCTTGTGATTGACCTTTCTCCACAGCCAATTTTGCTGAACGTAATAGCTCCGGCATGGCTGAAAATAGCATGGTGAAAACACAGATCAATCAAAAGCCTATGTAAAGAACAAAGAAACAAAGAATTGAAAGAAGTTTAAGGAGGACAAATATATATTCTACCTGAAACAGCAGCCTTCCTGACTTCTTCATGGAAATAAAATTTCAAAAGTGGAACTAATGTAGGGGCGACCTACATCATTTAAAGATAAGAGACATTTGGTCATCAACAACTGGGTCAAGGAAAAAACTTCACATGGTCCACAACACTACCCACACATCACTAATAAAAAAAGAAACCAAAAAAAATTAAAAAAATTCCCACCTGATCAATCCATGGGTAGAAACCCTCTTTCAACTCATCTGCATAGCAACAAAGCATGTTACATGCTGTTGCTTTCTCTTCCAGAACACTTGTCTTGATCCCAATTTTTTTATCCCCAAGGGTGATGGTTTCGATACTGCAATGAAGGAAAAAAAAGGAAATGAAAAAATGATAAAGCACCACATGATTGATACAACTTGAACTCTAGTATGTGGTCATTACAGAAACGCAGGGAGCTCCAAATCTCAGCTTATAAATAACTAAAATAATATATAAATCACAAAGCACAAGAGTGTGCATAAGTTACACTTCATAAGAGATAAAGAAAACAACATTATAAAAGGCAACCCAGAGAATCTCAAACACCACTAAATGTGCCTGATGCAGAATATCTAAGGGAGAACAAAAAGAAATACAAGCATAACAAATACCAACTAAATGTAGGCGTAGGCATAAGCATAACAACATTCTATTTTACCTCCATCGGATTTAGATTGTTTCCCTTAGATTGTTTCCCTTGAGTACAAAGGTTGTAGATAATTTTATATCCTACAGCATAATTATGAATAAAGATACTTGACAATGTAGCAGTAAGATGCTATCTTAGCTGTCACAATACACTAATGTAATGTACCGCAAAGAACAGAGAAAGACTATTTTTACATAGGAAATGTGTGGTATGTGCACGCAAGTGCACATCCATGCATTATCATCGTCATCAATGCCTTTTTCTAACTATTTGGGGTCGGCTACATCCATGCACTATAAGGTATTTTAAGCATAACATTCCCAGTAGAAATTTCCAAAAGATTCACGACACAGCCCTTGAAAAGAAACTCACAAAGTGAGAGGAAGCTATGAATATGTAAACATGTAAAATGTGGTCTCACACAAGCTACTTGGTACAGTTTTAACCATAATCAAGATTTAACATAATGTATTTTTTTCCAATTAGGATTTCAAATAATTGGTTCTCCGTAATTGATCGCTGAAGCAAGGAAGTCATTGGTCCTTCATAATGAACATCGAACCACCAATGATTGTAGGAAATCCTTATGAAGAAGATTTACCTCTCATCATCTGACTCGTCAATATCATCATCTGAATCTGCAGAGGTAATGGTCACATCTGGTTTCAGCTGAGCAGACTGAAGCAGAGGAGGCATCACAACATTCATGTAAGGCAGGAAATCTTGGCCAAGACACTTGCAGAGTCTAGCCCATGCCTGAGACAAAAGCCAAATACAGCACATAATCGCTATAAAAATAACAAAACATAAGGAACCCTTAAATGAGCTATCCCAATCAAAAAGCCATCATTTCTAGAGACTCCAGTACATAAAGATAAATCAACCAGGTGCGCATCTCCTTACACAAAATGCTCATACACTTCTTTCTACAATAGAAAGCCATTTTCACTTATCTATCTATATATATATATATATATATATATAGAGAGAGAGAGAGAGAGAGAGCAATGATC